TAAACTATCTGGAACATTAGTGACAGGACACAAAAACACTCTGTCAGGCAGAATATGCCAAGGGCTTAGTGGTGGTCTCCCAAGAGCTGAACAAGGACCAGTCCTCCTGAGACAAGGCTTTCTTTAGAATGTACATGGCTTGAGCAACCTGGGCCTGCAGAGGTTACTGTTTACAAGGAATTTTAACTGAATTAGAGGCCTAACTACCATTTAAAAAATGTTTTCAGTTGGGTATGAGTGGTGATCCTGGGTAAGGGTGGTGGCAGGCACAGGCATAATTGTGCAAAGGAGTGGAGGACGGGAAGCCCACAGTACAGGAAGGAACAGCAATAGCACCATCAGGCTCCTCATCTGTGGGAGAGGACAATGAAAACTGCCACCACTTATCAGGTGACTACCATGGGTCATCCTAGGCTTGTTACCAGAAATATCTAGAGATGTTCCCTTGATCAATCATGACAGCTGTTTAGACAGATGATCCCCAGCTATGACACAGAAAAGGGGACTGAGGCCCAGGGGGCCAGTAAGTAGTAGAGCTGAGCCCTCTCTCTTATGGATTGGTATATCCCCAAAGCTTGGGCTGGAAAAGTTTGGGCTGGAAGAGGACTCATCATGATTCTTGGTTCCTAGATATCAAAGTCATTCTAGAAAATGCTGGCATTGCATGAGCAACATCCACGTGTCCTTCATTAGGCCCCAGCTGAACAATCAGCCCTTTCTCTTTCTGTGTGAGCACTTAACTCCTGTAGAATCAGGATATGGGGAAAGTCTGACCACAGTCAAAGACCAGGTCTTTCTGCAGCTGAGATTTCTCTACTGTCCTCAGGACACTGTCATATCAACTCTATTAACCTTTTCCTGCTACGTGATTGTGATGACAAAAACGGTTATCGGGTCATCTCTCTTCTAGAAATAGATTAGTATCTCTGAACCTAGCCATCATTTACAAAAGCACAAAGATTTCACAGTGGAGGGCAACTCCCCACTCACATGCCTGAAAGAAAACTGACTCCTCTCCTGGGACTTCTACACAAGGCTTGGATAGTCACTTTCCAGGAGAACTCTGGGTTGCAGATTTGGGCTATGAGTCATCCAAAACACCTGAAGAATGTTAGTTAACTCATAGAGGGGAAAGGAAAAGAGAGGGAGAAACTAATATGTTCAAATGGAAGATTAAATAAATATATGATGGATTTCATGTTTGGTTTTGTGACATGGTTATCTCAACAGTGCCTGGCACGTGTTGGCTCTAGCACAGAAGAAATTGGAGTGTATCTGAGCTGAGACCCTGCAGTGCCCTGTCCAAGGAGTTCTGCTTGGTGACAGACAAGTACCACAAGCACATACCACACAGTTGG